CTTACGGGTTAACTGTCCAATGTTTATCCTATAGCACCACACTGTTAGTCATGACTAATTAGACTTGACAATGGTGCAGAACTAGGCATTGTTTCCTTCCATTATATACTGTTGTTGTTAAGTGCCAGCTAGTCAATTCTCCATTATATATAAGGGTGCTGTAAATTAGAACCAACTCCACAGTAATGTGTAACACTGGCACCACTTAGACTTGACTTCCTATTTTCACTGAGTTACTAGCCCTGCAACCCTCTCTTGATTTCTACAAGATCTTTAATAAGCTTACATCATATTGTGACAGTGAGAATGTAGGCAGGAAATCTAGAAAACCCAGAAGCAGGGCTCTACACACTCAACATATAAGGAGCCTTTATTGTGAAGGCAGTATCCCTGAATGCCTTACTGGTGCTCATGTTGAGGAAAGGCATGGGATTTGAAGTCAGCAAACATGACTTTTAACTTCAGTCTTGCACTTCCCGACAGTGTGACCTTGATCAATCGATTACCTAGTGACTCTGGGCTTCCATTGCTATCTGTGCTTTGAGGTACTCCCGAGAGGTTGCTGCAAGGCTGAACTAGGTGATAAGTGTGAAAGCCCTTTGTGAACTGCAGAATGCTTCATAAACATTCATCTCATCACTATTCTGTCTCAATACCTACAATTTATGTCACAATTTTGAATAGCTCCGTTATCCAGATGGTCATTGAATTTAGCCCACCCCTGTTGATGGACATATGAATCACTGAACATACTTGGGACATGAGGCTTCTCACCTTCATAGGGAGTATTTTTCAAGGCAAAATTAGTAGTGGTGGAATTTCTGGGACTCATAATTTTCAGAAAGACACACTGTACTGTAGTGGGGAAGATGAGTTGGAAGAGCAGGAAAATGGGTCAGCAGGGGCTGCTGATCATGCTCACCTTGACCTGGTTGGAGTCCTCCCAGCCCATAGAGGGCCCCACATGAACACAGGTCCATGGACTTCCAATTAATTGACCACAGCCTTCTTTCACAGTACATTTGGGACTGCTGTCCTGGAAGGCTATTCTTTAGCCTCCTGCAGACTCCTTGAAGGCTAGTGTCAAAGCTGATTCTGAGGGTCTGTTTTCTCAGCTCCTGCCAGGTTTCCATCTTGTGAAATAATGCAGATTAGTAGCATTTTACTCTGACCATAACTGCCAACCCAAGTCAGAGCCTTCATAACTGCTTAATCTCTGCCAGTTGCTTTGGGACCTAGAAGAGCAGCTTCCCACCCAGAACCATCCATCTCCAAGGGTGGAAAAGGGTGCAGCCCCACAGTGTGACCTTCTGCCTCCCAATTCTGGGTGGTTCAAGCCCTTTGAAGTTGGTCCTGAGAAGCCACACACTAGGGTCTGAGCAGTGATCAAACCTTCAGAAGTTCCTCCTGAAGTCTGGATTTATGGGGGTCAAATAGATTCCACCTGGGAGGGGCTTCCACTTCAGCTCATGACATGGGGAGAAAACCCTCCCCTTTCCAGGGGGAAGCAGTTTTCATTGCATTGGGAAGGTCTTTTGCGGGCTCCACACCCACCCACCCACCGAGTCCTTTGTAGGGGAAGTGGGGGAGAGGAGGACGCCTGCACCTCCTGCTCACATTCCTAGACACAGACTCACTGCACGCTGCCGCCACCACCGTTCCAGCAGAGCTGTGTGAAATGTCAAGAGGAGTTATGCTCCAGGCTCCCTGGCCCTGGTCTCCTTGTGACTTAGGTTTTCTTCCATCAGCACTCCCTTCATCAGATGGAAATTAGAGGGTGCAATTAGCAGATAATTTGCTAGTTCCAGATGTAATTTGGGGCCCCCTTCTTGCCTGATTGAATTACAGGGGAACATAATAGATTTTTGGTGAGAAAATACCTGGCCTGCTGGGTAAAAGAGAACTCCCTGCTCTCCAGCTAGGCAGTGCTTTCAGTATACTGAGTGTTGTTCCCCCACACCCCAGCCCCAGTCCACCCGCTTCCTATGACACTCATGTGGCCCCCAACCCAGGATCCTCATCCCCTTAGGGCCAGCTCCAGGAGTTTAAACTCAACTTGAGAACCAAGGAAAACAGGGAGCCCTCTGTGACCTCATAGGGTTGAAAAATGTTGAAACTGGAAGGTATTTAGAGACCTAACCAAGGCCCAGACAGAGGCAGAGACTTGCTGAAGGCCACATAGTTAGCCCATAGTCTAGTAACAATAGTCTTAATGATATTAACAGCCAACATTTATCAACCCTTAATGTGTTCCAGACTCTGTGCCAAGGGCTCTACGTGCAGCGGATTGTCGCGCTCAAGCCCAGACAGTCTGGCTCTGGGCCAGGCTGGCCTCCAGCATAGCATGATAGAACTTCGTATGGACGGAACTTGGTAGTACAGCTAGAGCTTAGTAAGGTGCCCTGATGGCACAGTGAGTTAAGCACTGGGCTACTAACCAAAAAAAGTTCAGCAGTTCAAACCCACCAGCTGCTTCTAGGAAGAAAGATGAGTTTATCTGCTTTTATCAAGAGTGACAGTCTCAGAACCCCTAGGGAGCTGTTCTGCTTTGTCCTGCAGGATCTCTGTGAGTCAGAATTGACTCAGCGGCAGTGAGTTGAGTATAGGTAGAATCTGGATTTAAATCCTCCCTCTATCTTTCACTTTACTTGGTGACCTCAGGTAAGTGATTTAACCTCTCTCTGCCTCAGTTCCTTCACATTTTAAGATGAGGGAAATCACGGTTCTACTGAATCTAGTTGTGTGGGTTACAATTCCATCATAGATGGCAGTGCCTGGCGCAGGGTGAGCACTCAGACCTGTGTGACATCTGTGTGAGAGTGTGCTGTGGAGCGGTAGGTAGGGATGACTGAGTTCTGCACAGATGCCAAAATCTGTTCCTCACCATTGTTAAATGCCATTCAATCCGTTCTGACTCATAGTGACCCTGTATAGGGTTTCCAAGGAGCAGCTGTGAGTTTGAACCACCGATGATCTTGTAGTTAGCAGTCCAGTGCTTATTCTTCATTGCCACCCCAGTTCCTCACAGTCAGAGGCAATAAACAGAGTGGCTGAGTGCTTTAGCTGTAGAGCAGAGGTTGTCAAATTATGGACACTGCCTGTTGTCATAGGGCCTGTGATGTTTTTTACATTTTTCAGTGGTTGGGCAGGAGGACACAAGAGAATAATTTATGACACATGAAAATTACAGGAATGCAAAATTTCAGTGCCCATAATGACCATTTGTTTACTTTTTGTCTATGGCAGCTTTTGTGTAACAACACAATTGAGTAGCTAAGACACTGTGTTTCCTGCAAAGCATAAATATTTGCTATATGGCCCTTTGGAGCCCTGTTGTGGCACTGTAAGATAACCACTGGACTGCTAACCGCAAGGTCAACAGTTCAAACCCACCAGCCACTTCTTGGAAACCCTATACAGGATGTCTATGAGTCGGAACTAGCTCAACAGCATTTAACAACAGAACGTGCACTGACCTCTGCTCAAGAGTTAGGCTTACTGGGTTTGAAACCCAGCTTGCCACCTGTTTGTCTTTGGTCTAGTGACTTGATCTCTGCAAGCCTCAGTTTTCTCATCAGTTAAATTGGGATGATAGCATTTACTCCATAGGTTGATAAGTATAATCGATTACAGATGGGTCTGGAACATATTACGTGCTCAGTAGCTTCTTAATAGAGGGCAAACTGAATCTAAAATGCCCTGGTTTAATCATGGGGCTACTAACCACAATGTCAGCAATTCAAACCTACCAACCACTTCAGGGGAAAGATGAGGCCGTCTGTTCCCACAAAGATTGACAGTCTCAGAAATCCCAGTTCTGTTCTGTCCTATAGGGTCGCTATAGGGTTGCAGTGGTGGGTAACCCTAATCTTACCACCTTTATTGTTCTCCTTGCATACAGTTACTGGGGATAAGAGGGAAAAACTGCCTGTAAGCCCAGCTGCCACTTTGCTGCAGACCTTCCACCATGATCCTTATTTAGAGACACTAAGGGAGGAGTGTGAGCGACAGTAAGGTCTGGGCCTGCTGGGTCTTCTCCAGAAGCCTTGCTTTCCCACTGTGGTCCTGCAGGCAGGTGCGGGGGGAGGGGCTTTCCTTGGGTGATGTCTGATCTGGTTGTCCCCACAGCTGGGTTCCTCAGGCGAGTCCCCCTTGCAGATACTTGGCCCAGTATCCCCACAAGCACCCTCGACTTGTCCTCATCTCACTCCATTGATCAGTGTGAGAAGAGGCATTCTGGGAATGAGTGAATGTATAAATGGGAGGAAGCAGGTGACCTGGGCCCCAGTCCCTGTGCTCTTTCCTACTTGCAGAAGGGTCTTTGCAGGTCACCTCCCCTTAAAGAAGCCCTGGGCTATGAGCTGTGGCTCTGAAGTCCCATGACTGAGGTTTACTTCCCACCCTGCTACTATATAGTTTTTTGAGCCTGGATCCGTTCCCTAGCCTCTCTGTCTCACTTTCCTCATTTCTACAATAGGGAGTAAGAGCAGACAGAGAGATACAGTGCTTGGTGCATGGAGAAATGTCAGCTATCCTCTAACACATTGGGCCCTGCCCTGAAGTGGCAGTGGCAGTGGCAGTGGCAGTGGTTGGCGCCTGGGGTAGTACCCAGACCAGGCAGTGGGGAGGGTTTCAGTGATGGAGTCTAGTGCCAGCTGGGAGCCCAGGGTCCAGGTGACTCTGGACCACCTCACCTGCCCAAGAGGCCCCCGTCTATTCTTTCGCTTCTTCCCCACCTCTAAGCAGAGGAGCAGAGTTATTGCCCTTTGGGCTGTTCTTCAGGTAAGGAGCCTCTGGGGGACGGTTGTGCTCCCCATTTCCTCTGTCCTGCCCATGATACGTTCAGGGATGGACACTCAGTCCGGTCATTGTCTGCAGCTCTGGCCTGCACCCCGTCAGCCAGCTCCTCCCCTCGCCGGCAAGGTCTGTTTCCTAACAGCTGCTCCAACCACACACCTCGGTTCCTGGAGGAGCCCCTCCTCTTCCTCCTCCTTCCTCCCTCAGGGGCGGGACTGGAGAAGAAAGCTAACTTGACAGCAGTGCTTCTTTTTGAGCGAGTCACTGGCTCCTGCTGGAGATGCCTGGGTGCATATAGCTTCAGCCGAGAGGTGGTACGCCCGCAGATCCTCCCAGGGGCTGCCCAGGCTGCTGAGAACTGGGGAGGAGCCGCCCCAGCCATGAGCCCCTGCGGGCATCTGCCGAAGGGTGACTGGTCTGGAGTCCTCACGCTGCTCCAGAGGGAGAGGTGAGCAACTGGACAGCCTGTCCGCAGCCAGAGTGCCAGGAGCCCCGGGCCTGTCATGGTGGCTGTGTGCAGCCGACCTGAGGCACTCCCAGACGGGTTTGCAGCTGAGCTTGTTGATCTGGTGTGGGAAGAAGATGGGGAGTTACTTGTCCGTCCCTGCGTACTTCACCTCCAGAGACCCCTTTCGGTGAGTTGGGCCCCAAGCCCCCCTCCCCCTCTCCCGGCCCCTGGTCTTCAGGGGAAGACGGAGGCCACCTAAATCTGCTTCACAACCCTCACTCTCTCTTCAATCACTGGGTCTGGCTGGCAGAGGGCTTCTCACAGGGTCTTGAGAACAGTGAGGTGAGGGATATGCCCAGGATGAGGCTCTGGAGTCCCAGACACACCTGGAGGAACCTCCAGAAGATGCTACTGACCCCAACCTGCTGCTGGTGGTTCTGCTTCCGGGTGAAGAGCACAGAGTGCTGTTCTTCCAGCTCTCACATGCCTTACCTGCAGGCCATGCTGCCTGCCCAGGAATTTGTCCCAACAAGCAGGATGAGCAGGTTTTGCCAAACAGTGTGGATGCTAGTAAGACCTGGGTGTAGGCAGCCTGGCACACAGTAGGCACTCTAGAAACGTTTGTTCTCTTAGTGGTAGGCGCATTTACCCTGGTCTTGAGAAGGCGTTCCAAACGCCCCAAACCAAAACAAAACCCACCACTGAGTCAATTCCAGCGTTGCAACCCTGTAGGACAGAGTAGAACTCTTCCCTAGGGTTTCCCGGAGCTTTGGTAGCATAGTGGTTACGAATCAGGCTGTGAACCTCAAGGTCAGCAGTTCGAAACTACCAACTGAACTGCTCCGCGGGCGAAAGACGAGGCTTTCTGCTCCCATAAAGATTTATAGCCTTGGAAACCCTGTACAAGGTCGCTATGCGTCAGAACTGACTCCACGGCACATAACAACAACAACAAATCCATATGGAAGCTGACAGCCTCATCTTTCTCCTGAGGAGCAGCTGGTGGGTGTGAACTGCCAGCCTTGTGGTTAGCAACTCAACACTTAACCATTGAGCTACCAGGGCCCAGGTGAGCCCAATTACTGAGGAAAGGCCTGACTGAGTGCTTCCAGGACTGAGCAATAGGCCTTGGAGAGTTCTTGAGCTTTGGGGCCAACCCAGGCCTCTCTCTGCCCCCAAGGCCAGAGTACCCCAAGGGCCCTTCTTGTGGACTTTTCCAAGGGTGATGAGGAAACTTTCCATTGACCTCTAACCTACCTGTCTTTGCTGTTTGCCCCACCCCACCTCCACAGAAACTCCCGAGGGGGTTTCTGGCCCTCAGGGTCCCTTCTGAAGGGAGCCATTCCTGGCTGGGGTGGGGCTTGTTTTCATTCTTTGGGAACAGCTTGTTGTTCTGAGGGCTGCCTCCCCCTCACTAGTGGTCCTGGTTTTCCCTTCTGACTTCTCCAAAGCAGCCCTGTGCCCAGATCTTTCTTGCTCTGGGATACTAGTCAGATGCCCATGCCTGAGGAAAAGACAGAGCAGAAAAGCAGGACATAATGGTTTCACTGAGTTGCTGGCCACTGGGGGGAGTGGGGGACTGGTCCTTCATGCAGATCCTAGCAGACATCCTGCTAGGCACTTTGTCCTTTCATCGCTTCCCATTTTACAGGTGAGGCAGGCAGCTGGCTTCTACATGGGTCATTCTGAGTGTCTCTTACCTTTTGGAGGAGCCGCACCTCCCTCTGAGGCAACGCCCTCCCAGCAGAGAGAGTAGGAGGCCCTCCACACCTTACCTGGCATATGGAAGGGATGGCAGAGATTCCCTTCTAAAGTGCCAGCAGGAAGTGATCTTAAATTGAGGAGGCAGGTTTTACTATATGGACTCAAAATGCAAAGTGTTTAATTAATCCCGTTACTGTTGTTGTCAAGTGCTATCGAGTCGTTTTTGACTCATAGAGACCCTGTGTAGGGTTTCTGAGAGCAGACATCCTGCTTGTGGTACGAAATCCAGTGCTGATCCTACAGAGCCATACCAGGAGTCCAATTAATCTCTCTCACTCTTAATCCTGGAAAGGCAGTTTCAGGGAGGGATTGCTCCCTTAGGAACCAGGAATGCTGTGCCCTTTTCTTCTCTGGGGGTAGGACACAACTCCTTAGGAGTTGGAACAAGAGCAAATAATGAACGCTCAACCTGAACATTTGAGGGCAGGGTCACAATGGCTCCCAGTTCTGCCAGTCCTTTGTCTTGCTCTGTTCTGGCCCCTCTGGAGAACATCCCCCTCCCCTAGCTCTCTCTGTTTGCCCAGCTGGAGTCAGGGAGGACTGACTGTAGACCCTCTCTCCCTTCCCTTAAATCAGCAGCCACATTCCTGAAGCCACTTCTGAAGAGAGAGCCACAACACAGGGCTCTGCGCCCTACAAGAGAGACCACACAGACCCCTGCTCTCCCATTATTGGTCTAATCATTCACCACCTGCACTAGCAACCTTCTCTGTTAGGAAGCCATCCTCAGGAACACCTCTCTAACAAGGTGCTTCTTCCCTCCCTGAGCCTGAGTTTCCACCTTTGCAAAATGTAGGTACCAGACTTTTGGGCTATGGAACAAGTCCTTGATCCCAGGCCTCTGGGGAAGTAGAAAGTCCATAGGAGTTCTGGTGCTGTGGTTCCAAAGAAAGTGATGCAACCAGATTCCAGGGGGGACATGACCAGACGTGTGAGGGAGGGAAGAGAGAGCAGGGAATGGAGAAGGTGATTTCTGTGCCCATCCAATCCTGCCTGACAGACCATACTGGGCAGAGTGCACACCTGTACAGTGTTTCTCCCTCCCTTCCCAGCACCTTCATTGTAGGGGTCCCATACAGTTACAGGAGTGCTCTCCAGGGAAGAGGAAAGTTCCAGCTGGAATGGACAGAAGAGGTGATGGGAAGTGACTTTTTTTTTTTTTTACATTTTTAAAGGATTTTACTTTTGGTAGAATTTTACTTAAAGCCCAACATTGATTTAATAGATTTGATTTACACATTATGTCTTGAAGAAAACCGGTGCATCTTTGTATTGTCACACAACCCATACTTAAAGGAAGAACGTATTGTCCAGCTGACTCAGGTCCTCTGGGATTCTTTTCTCCTGCTTTGAAACCTGAAGGGCTTGGATCAGGTGAATGGTTTCCAGCTCGACAGTTCTTGTGGCTCCTCAGAAGCACATGTTTTTTCCAGAATCACAGCGATCTGACCTCTAACTGCAGTAAACTGTATAAATTACTTGGAATAACAGACTTCTACAACTGAATCACTCACTCTGATAGCATTATTTCTTGTTGATCAGAGGCTAGTTGTGTGCTTGATTACTTTTTCTCAACTGGTCAACAACATGTCCTATAATGAGAGTTCAGTTGACAAACTGTTTCAGTCTACAGGGTCTTCAAGAAAGGAAGAGTAATAAAGGGATCTTTTGGTGGAAAAGACTGAATTTGTGAACTTCAGGGTAGAGTTGATGTCCCTGGTCATGGAGTTCTTAAATTATGGTGGAGGGAGCTGTCCATTCTCCCACTCAGCTCACTTAAAGCTCAGAAGCAAGATTTTCCCTGACCACTTGCTCTTGCAGGAGGCTAAGGATGAGCGTCTAGCTATCCCTTCACCAGAACATAGGAACACTGGTTCTTAAAGTATATAAATCTGTAAGTGTGGCTGCCTGGTTTCCCTATCCCATGAGGTTGACCATTTGCTTGCAAACACTGGGTGTGAAGAGTTTAGATATGAGTTCAGGTGGGCCTATCTTATCTCACTTAAGGACTCCCAGCACAGCACCTTGTTGGTTTGTTCTTGCACATCCTAGATGCACACTAGTTAATTCGTAATTGATAGAAATGGATTCAAATCATTTGATTTTTAATTAGATAAATAATTCATTTTAGAACTGACCTTATATCCCTGCAGGAATCAGCTTGGTTCTGGGCCAAGAAGTAGGTCCATATTACCTGGGCATGAACGAGGAAGAGTTCTGTGTACATTTTCCCTTTTTGTTATTGTTGTTATGTGCCATGGAGTCGGTTCCGACTCATAGTGACCCTGGGTTTCCGAGGCTGTAAATCTTTACAGGAGCAGAAAGCCTCATCTTTCTCCTGTGGAACAGCTGGTAGTTTCAAACTTCTGACCTTGCAGTCCATAGCCCGATTTGTAACCACTATGCTACCAGAGCACCCTTGGTGTTCCCAAATAAAAGAAGGGGCAAAGGGGAATGAGCTTTTAACTGGGCACCTGCTGTGAGTGAAGCACTTGTACAGAATTGACTGCTCAGAGCTCTGTAAGATCTCACTGTAATCAGTGGACAGTCGGAGGCACAGCCAGTTAGCGACTGCTGACAGTTGCAGAGGTAGCACTCTCAGGACATGAGAGTGATTTATGGGGATCTCAACTTAGTTTTTTTTTTAACCTGTGTTTTCTGCTGACCCAAAAAGCTTCAGTTTGGGTCGCTCTAATGTTTGGGAGAGGTGCAGGTTCAGCACGTACAGACTCCTAGGCAACCTCCTCTGACTGGAGGGTTTTAGCATCGTCCACTCTGGCTCCTCAGCAAAGTCTGGTGACTGATACCCTGGCCCTGGGTTCAGACCCCAGCTCCACCACTTCCAAGCTGGATGCCCTTGAATCTATATCCAGGGCAGATTTTGACTTGCACTCAAAACCTTCAAAAGCTAGAAACCGGAAAATAGCCTTGACTTTGGGAAGACTATAGTGTGGCTGTGGCCTCTGAGAAGCTGAGGTGAGACTATTTTTTATAGTTGCACCTTACATATTCCTTTATGAAAAGACTGTTGCAGAACAGCTGTTACAGAATAAATGAAGGAAAATTGAGTGTTAAGTATTGGAGTCTTGGTCTGCCGCTGTAGGACAAGCACTCGATCACAGGGGCAGTTTGAACTGCAAGGTTAGGGGTTCAATTCCTACAGCCACTCCTTGGAAACCCTATACAGGGTCAGCAGGAGTTGGAACTTTAACAACAGTAACAACAGCATTGCCATTTAATAGTCAAGACTTAAGGAGTCCTTGTGTGGCGCTGTGGGTTAATGCACTGTACTGCAATTTTGGTTTGAATCACAAGGTCGGTTATTCAAGCTCACCAACCACTCCTCAGAAACCCTATATGGGTCACTGTGGGTTGGAACTGACTCGATAGCACTTAACAATAAACTTAGACTTAAGGAGAAGC